GAAAAGTGATCCAACAGAATGTGGAAATAATTGAACAATATCAGTAACATAACATGCAGGTACAATTTTGCTGAAAATAATTAAAAAATGATTACAGGTTGTGGTCGTTAAGTTTGTGTGTCATCTCAGCTGGGCCTGGTTGAGTGGCTGGGCAGCTGAATGTAGTTCTTTCCCATGGTGAGATTGGTAATCAACTCCAGGGTGGAGTCTACTGTGAGCAGCTGAGTAGCTGCCTTACGGATGTGGTCTGCTTCCTGTATATAAGGAGAAACCTTGGGGAACAGTCTCTAGCTTATGGCATGCTTGAACCCTGTATGTAGTCGTGTCATTGTTCAGCAGCCTGACATGCTACGCTGCTCTTGGGACTTTCAATGGACTTGAATCAATATGACCTGCCATGTTGTTTGGTAACATCAGGACTGCCATTTTGTCGACCTTGGGCTTTTTAGCCTCCATAGCCAGTAGCTGTCTGAGTGAAGGAGATTCCTCTAACTTCAGTGGACTGGGAGCAAGAGGCAGACCTGAAGTCCAAGGTTGAGGGGCTTTCACCCAGCCCCTAGAGCCTGGCACTTTGAACTCGGACTTAATGCCTCCAAACTGTAAGACAATTAACTCCTGTTTCTTCAAACCATCCCATTTGTGGTATATTTCTGTCAGAGTGGCACTAGATAACTGAACACACATGTACATAGGGAACTTCCAGAAATTCAAGACTGATTCAGAAGACATGAATGTGGCATATCACTGCTGATCTCAAAGGATCTTGCCTAAAAGCAGAAAATATCAGAAAGATGTTTACCTGTTTTTTATTGAATATGCAAATGCATTGGCTGTATGGATCACAACAAATTATGTTATTTTGAAGAATGAGAATTCCAGAACACTTAATTTTCTCATGGAGAACCTGTAAATATACCAAGAGGTAGTAGTTCAAACAGATTGGGGATTACTGCATGGTTTAAAATCAAGAAAGGTATGCATCAGGGTTTCGGGGTTATAGTCTTTAACCATACTTTTTACATCTGTGTGCTAAGCAAAAAATCCAAGAAGCTGGATTATATAAAGGAGAATGTGACATCAGGATTGGAGGAAGATTCATTACTGACTTGAAGTAGGCAGTTGACACAACTTTGCTTGCTGAAAGCAAAAAGGACTCGAAGCACTTAGTGTTGAAGATCAAAGTCTTCATTCAGCTTTCAGTATGGATTACACCTTAACCAAAAGAAAAAAAAAAAATCATCACAGCTCAACCAATGAGCAACATCATGATAAAGAGAGAGAAGACTGGATTTGTCAAGGATTTCATTTTACTTGGATCCACAATCAACTCCCATGGAAGCAGCAGCCAAGAAATCAAACAATGTATTGCATTGGGCAAATCTTCTGCAAAATCTCTTTAAAGTGTTAAAAAGCAAAAATGTCATTTTGATGACTAAGGTGCATCTGACCCTAGCTATGGTATTTTCAATTGCCTCATATGCATATGAAAGCTGGACAGTGAATAAGGAAGACTGAAAAAGAATTGATGCATTTGAATAATGGTGTTGGTGAAGAATATTGAATACATTGTAGACTTCCAGAAGGATGGACAAATATGTCTTGGAAAACTACAGCCATTTATGCTCTTTAGAAGTGAGGATGGTGAGACTTCATCTTATATGCTTTGGACATGTTATCAGGAGGGATTAGTCCCTGGAGAAGAACATCATTCTTGGTGCAGTAGAGGGTTAGAAAAATACAAGAAGACCCTCAACAAGATGGATTGACACTGTGGCTGCAAGAATGGGCTCAAATATAAGAAGTATTGTGAGGATGGCACAGGACCAGTAGGTGTTTTATTGTATTCTACATAGGGTCATTATGAATTAGAACCAACTCAACAGAGCCTAATAGCAACAACAACACTCTTTGAGCTGGGATTTCCAAGTAAGATTACTAGGTCACAGGAAAAATGCATATGTAATTGTTCTAGATTCTGCCACATTCCCCTATACCATTTTGCATTCCCACTAGCATTGCAAGAGAGAAGAGCAGTATTCAGGCTCTATGAATGGACCTCGGGATATCAATAATTTTATATAAAATACCAGGTATATTTGTCTAGAAACAGGACTTAGACACATTGGCATTCTGTCTCCTGTGATTGCATGGTCATTCCTCCATTGATGCCTTTTCTTTGCTTTTACTTTTACTGTTCTTTCATATCTTAGTTTGAATGTCACTCACCAGGGCAGCTTTCCTTGACTTTCCTGAGTGGATCAAATCCTCCTATTATCTGATCTGCATAGTACTCATTTTAATTTCACTTTTACATTTATTGATGTGACTACTTGGTTAATGTTTGTCTTCCCTACACATCTGTAAGCTCCATGAAGGCAGAGACTGTGTGTTATGTATTCCCAATATCTGTCAAGGTACCTCAATATATATTTGTTGAATGCAGACCAAAAAATGAAAGCCATTGCTGTCAAGTTGATTAGAACTCATGGTTACCCTATGTCTTATGGAGCAGAACTGCTACATAGGATTTTCTTGGCTGTAATCTCATGGAAAGGAGCTCTGATGGCACAGTGGTTAAAGCATTCAGCTGCTAACCAGAAGGTCAGCAGTTTGAACCCACCAGCTGTTTCATGGGAGAAAGATGAGGCATTCTGCTTTTGTCAAGATTTACAGCCTTGAAAACCTATGGACAATTTTACTCTGTCTTATAGGGTTGTTGTGAGTCAGAGTCTACTCGATGGTAGTGACTGGTTTGGGTTTTAATATTCATGGAAGCAGATTGCCAGGCCTTTCTTACTGCAGTGCCACTGGGTGATTTAAACTGCCAACCTTTCAATTAATAGCTGAATGCAAATTATTGATAGGAACTCAGCATATATTTGTTGAATAATGAACATACGCTTCTTGGAGGAGTCTGGATTCCATAAAAGATTAAAGGTAATTTTAAGGTAGTCTATTCTTTTAAAAGGAGCTCTGGTAGTATAGTGCCTAAGGCACTTGACTGCTAACCAGAAGGCTGGCCGTTGAAACCCAACAACTCCTCAGATGGAAGATGTGGCAATCTACTTCCGTAGAAACCCAAGGAGAGGTCGCTATGAGGTGGGTCCAACTCGACAGCAAATAACAACAACAACAACAACAATTCTTTTAAAGCACAAGGTATAGTGACTGATACTTTTTTTTTTTTAAGTTGGGTTGAATATTATTTCTGTTCATCTTCATAACCGAATAGAACATTATTGGGAGAGTGAACTTTACAGGGAAATTGGAAACACACATTCACTTGCCACCATAGGGAGCCAGCAATCAGCCCATGATTAAAACATACTCCTTGAAAAGCTAAAGGGGTTTCTCTTTGGTTAGGGGGACAAACACGTGTGCACACAGGTAATTCTCAGGTGGTGGGACAAGTGTGTATTGCCTAGGGAAGGAGGGACTACTTTGCTGAGAGATGATCTAGGTCTTGCAGGTGAGATGCTTTTCAAGCTGTGAGAGAGTGAGGGATCATCATGTGCAGAGTCATGGAGAGGGAAAAGTGCAGGGCATGACTAGCAGAGTGACAGGATATTCAGAGAATGTTGGGGCATCAGAGAAGTCTAGAGGAGTTTGAAATGAGAACTGAGACCAGGTTGTTTGGAGTCTAGTAAGCCGTTCTTTGAAGACTGGATTTTTGTTCGTAGACCTTGGAGATTCACAGAATTCTTTTAAAAAATGGCTCTTATTGCTTGGGACAAGAAAAAGCACATTCAGATTGAAGGCTCTGGAATCAAGAGTTGAGTACTACTACACTAAGCAAGGGAAATCCCACTTTTGCTGCTAACTATGTGGTAAGATTCAATACAATCCCCAAAGTGTGGAAATAGATCCAGTCCTCACTTTCTCATTTCCCAATCCTCATTGCCAGCCAGCCAAGTGACATACTCTCTTTTCAGCCTCATCCACACAGAACTATATCAGAGCTCACAAGTTAGATGGACACCATCCTTCAGACAAGCTGCCTATACAGCCTTTCTCTGATACCTAGCCACCTGGGGCCACATCAGAGCTTACAAGTTAGACAGTATCCTTCAAATAGGCAGATGTCAAACCCTGCTGGTTCTTACTGCCCCTGTGAGTTTGTTAATTTGCTGGAATGACTCAAAGAATCTTAGGGAGAGTATGCTATAATTATAACTATAGATTTATTACAACTAAAAAGGATATAAATGAAGAGACACATGAAGTGAGATCTGAGAGGAGGATCACTGATGCTTTCATGTCCCAAAGTGGGATGTGTTATAGTCTGTCATGCATAGTTACTAGCCAGGAAGGTCATCTGAGCCTTCTGGTTCAGGACTCTCATCAGATTACCCTTGTGGCCATGATAGATTGTATTAGGCCTCCTGAGGAGGCTTAGTTAACGTCAGACCCTTAGGTCCTTAGGTCATCCCTCTTGGTCTGATTAGACTTCACTCATTAGCCTCAAGTGTGGTCTGGCTCTCAAGAACCCAGAAAAAAGACCAAATTGCAGGGTGATTCCACACCTTGCAGATACAATTCTCACTGACACTATATGCCAGCTTTTCAATTCTGGACTGTTTACTTAAGCTCTTTGTTCTGGTTTTCATCATCTGTATGATGAGTGTAATGATACCCATTTTTTAGGTTGTGAGGATTATGTGAGACAGTGCATTGTTTACCATCTGGTGTTCTTGCAATAAATAATAATTTCAATAACAATCAGCATCCCTTTCATCCCTTTTGTCTCTCTCTGACTTGAGGGTTCATTAGGGTTTTGAAATTATTTTAGTTGTAGTGACTGTGGTAGAAGCTTTTTGGAAACTGTTAGAAGTTTCCTGGGGCCACCTTTCTTGGAACACTGATGGTAGGTGCCAATGACTGGTGATGGGGTATAATATATTGTTGGCCAGCTGGACTTTACTCTTACTGTGCCTTAATTGGAAATTTCTTGTACTAATGCAAACCATTTATTTTTTAGGCATTTCTATTTAGGAGTTAGAATGGAGTCCCTCTATCTTCAAAAACACCTTGGGACTTGTCTAACTCAGGGTCTTGCAGAAGTTGCAAGAATTCGTCCAGTGGATCCAATAGAATATTTGGCATTGTGGATTTACAAGTACAAGGAAAATGTAACTATGGAACAAGTGGTAAGTGTGGGTCTCCTTTAGAAAATGAGAAAAATAAAATAATCGATCCAAGTTGTCTGCTTTTTTTAAAGTTTAGTATTACTACTTTTTTCCAAAATAATATATTCATTCTATAAAAACTTTCATCCCTTTTCTCTCTTTCTGACTTGAGCACTCATTAGAGTTTTGAAATTATTTTAGTGGTAGTGACTATGGTAGAAGCTTTTTGGAAACTGTTAGAAGTTTCCTGGGGCCACCTTTCTTGGAACACCACTGATGGTAGGTGCCCATGACTGGTGATGGGGTATAATATATTCAACAATATATTATATGGTTGGTCAGCTGGATTTTACCCTTACTGTTCCTTAATTGGAAATTTCTTGTACTGATGAAAAAAGAAAACAATACCAGAAGACATTTATTTATATTTTTATGTGTTTTCATCTAGTCTTTTTCTACACATTTCTCTATAGATTTTGTACATACTTGTGATCAAACTCTATGTGTAATTTATATTTTTCAAATAAATAGACTATAATGTGTTTGACTCTTTCCCTATTGGTGATTTAAATGCTCTCAAGATTGTTTTTATAATTTTTTCCCCTAATTAATCATGTGATAATTGCTTTTAAACAATGCTAGAGAGAAAAGGAAATGGCTGAGTTGGAACATGAGAGAGAATTAGCTCTTTTGGAACAGGAGATGATGGAGAGGCTCAAAGCAGAGGAGCTCCTGTTTCAGCAGGTGAGACAAATAAGATGACTTTAGAAGTGACTGTGGAGTTAAGATTTTCAGCCTTGGTGTGATATAACCTGGACTTAGAAGAACTACCTTATTTATCTATGGCTCTCTATTATCTACTTTTATGTATGTGTGTGTTTTCTTTGCTGGAGAATAAGTAGCAGTGGGGTAGAAGAAAAGCTGAGTGTGCTGACATGAAAGCCAAGGCAGGGAGAGTGTGCCAGTAAGTCGTGAGTAGTCAACTGTCTACTGGAGGTTGAGTAAGAACAGGCCTGGACAGTGCTCACTTAGAGCATTGGGGTGGAGTAGGGCAATGCAAGGGAGATGGTGGGTGTAGGTAGTACTTTTAAGGAAATTTTCTGGAAAGAGAGTTTTTTTTTTTTTTTTTTTTTAATGTGTTTTTGCTTTTATGCTAATACTTGCATTTCTGCACACAAAATGCTAGGAGGGAATTTCTATTCATATTGGCAAGTATTTTTTATTATTATTATTTTTTATTGTGATTTAGGTGCAAATTTAGGTGCTGCCTATACAGCCTTTCTCCATTTTACATTCAACATTTTGTGTACATTTGGTTTCACTCTTCAATTACAATCCCCAACCCTAACCCGCTCTCCTCCTCTACCCCCCTCCCTGTGCCCTTCTTAGTTATGCACTCTTATCTGTCCAGCTTTTCCTCCATATGAGTGTTGCCCCTGGTGCCCCATGGCCAATTGTTCCAAGGTCTGTATCTCTGTAGAGTAGGTGGATGCATTATCCTGGGTTGAGTGTTCTGCATGTAAGTCTTATTTACTATTGGGCTGAGAGCCAGCCCTTGGGAGTAAGTTTTATACCAGGCCTGAAGTATATCCCAGGACCATAGTCTTGGGGGCCCCACCCAACTACATCCACCAGTAATTCTGGTCATTATTGTGTTTTTGGATTTTGTTCCATGTTTTTCCTCCCATTCTATCCAGGATCTCCAGTTTTGGTCCCTTTCTGAGTGGTTGGCGTTGGTCTTGAGGTCCATCAAGTCCTAGGGCTGATTGTTTCCAAATGCTCTTGGTTTTTTTCTTCACTCTTTTTTACTTCTGCATTAGCTGCATCTCAGATGGCTGCTCGAAAGCTTTTAAGACCCCAGTCACTACTCACCAAAGTAGGTTGTGGAACAAGATTTTTAAGTATTTTGTTGTGCCAGTTGAGTCTGGTGTCCCCCAATACTATGGTCCTGAGTGGGAAGATCCACTGGATTTCTCTCCCACATTGTCTGGATATCTATGAGGGTTTGCTTTATGTCAGTCTTCTGTTGCTTCTGTAATGATTGTGGATATCTTGTATCACTAGAATCTGTGCAAGATTATCCTCAACTGAATCTATCATTGGTTTAGAGTATATTCCGATTCTCTGACCCCCATCTGATCTTCTCAGTTGCCTATGTGTTTATCTGTAGCCTGGTGTTTGGTATTAATGGTAATGCAGTATTGTACATATACTGATATTAGCCTCTGTCATCTATATCTTATGTGCACAATTTGGTGTCCTTCCTTTCCCCAATGTTATCATGCTGTCACAGCCTCTTTCTATACCATCCCTCCCTTTACCCAACTCAGCATGTGGCCTCAACTAGTCGAAAATTATTTCTTCCCCTTCCCTCCCCACCCCGGTAACCTACAAAGTGAGTTCCCTTCCCTACGCAAACCCTTCCTTGACATTTACAGTAGTGGGCTTATACAACATTTGTCCTTCTGTGATTGACTTATTCCACTCAGTGTAATGTCCTTCAGGTTCATCCACATTGTGAGATGATTCACTTATTCCTTATTGTTCTTTAATGTAGCATAGTATTCCATTGTGTGAATGTACCATAATTTGGTTATCCATTCATCTGTTGGGCATTTAGGTTGTTTCCATCTGTTTGCTATAGTGAATTGTGCTGTGATGAACATAGGTGTGCATATGTCTGTTCCTGTCCTGTCTCTCATCTCTTTAGGATACATTCCTAGTAATGGAATTACTGGTTCAAATGGTATTTCTGTTTTCAGGTTTTTGATGAAATACTATACTATTTTCCACGATGGTTGTAACATTTTACAGTCCCACCAGCAGTGTATGAGAGTGCCAATCTCTCCACAACCTCACTGTTGTTGTTGTTGTTGTTATGTGCCATCGAGTCAGACCTGACTCATAGCGACCCCTCCTTGGGTTTCCGAGGCAGTATCACTACGGAAGTAGATTGCCCCATCTTCCTTCCAAGGAGTGGCTGGTGGGTTTGAACAGCCAGCCTTCTGGTTAGCAGTCAAGTGCCTTAGGCACTATGGTACCAATAACCTTACTAGCATTTGTTATTTTCTGTTCTGTTGAACTTTGCTGTTATTGCTGGGGTGAGATGATATCTCCTTGCTGTTTTGATTTGCATCTCTCTAATGGCTAATGATCACAAGCAATTCCTTATGTGTGTTGGATGCCAGCATATCGTCTTTAGTGAAGTGTCTGTTCATGTCCTTTGCCCATTTTTGAATTGGATTGTTTGTATTTTTGACGTTGAAGTGTTGAAATTTTCTATAGATTTTAGAGATAAGTCTTTTGTCAGATATATCATAGGCAAATATTTTCTCCCAATCCATAGGTTCTTTTTATCCTTTTGATGCAGTCTTTCAATACACATAAGAATTTAATTTTTAAAAGTTTTCAATCATCTACCTTCTCTTCCACCTCTTGTGGATTTTGGGTTATGGTTAATATTCTCTTTATGCCATAAATTAGGGCCTCTAGATTTGCCCGTTATATCTTTGATGAAGTTTATAGTTTTGGGTTTTACATTTAAGTCTTTGATCCAATTTGAGTTTGTTTTTGTGTATAGGGTGAGGTATGGGTCTTGTTTCATTTTTCTGCAAGTGGATATCCAATTTTGCCAGGACCATTTGTTAACGAGGCTATCTCTTCTGTGGTAGTTCAGTTTTTGTGTTATCTTGGCTGGGCCTGGTTGAGTGCTGGGCAGCTGGATATAGTATTCCCCAGGATGAGACTGGTAATCAACTCCATGGTAGAATCTATTCTGAGCAGCTGAGTAGCTGCCTTAGGGATGTGGTCTGCTTCCTGTATATTAGCAGAAACCTTGGGGAATGGTCTCTAGCTTATGGCACGCTTGAACCCTGCATGTAGCTGTGTCGTTGTTCCACAGCCTACCATGCTCTACTGACTTTGGGACTTACAACGGACTTGAATTAATGGCCTGCTGTGTGGTTTGTTAACATCGGGACTGTGCCATTTTATTTCTCGACCTTGGGCTTGTTAGCCTCAGCAGCCAGTAGCTGCCTGAGTGAAGAAAAGCCTGTAGGTCCAGTGGGCTGTGAGCAAAGGCAGAGCTGAAGCCCAAAGTCGAGGGGCTTTCACCCAGCCCCTAGAGCCTGGCACTTTGAACTTGGACTTAAAGCCTCCAAATTGTTAGAGAATAAACTCCTGTTTGTTAAAGCCATCCCATTTGTGGTATACTCCTGTTGGAGTGGCACTAGGTAACCAGAATACTTTCCCATTTAATGAGTTTTGGTCCTTTGCCAAAGATCAACTGTCCATAGATGGATGGGTCTATTGCTGGTTTTTTTATTCTATTCCATTGGTTAATCTCTGTATCATTGTACCAATACCACACTGTTTTGAGTATTATAGCTGTATAGTAGATTTTGAGATCATGAGTGTGAGACCTCCCATTTTGTTCTTCTTCTTCAGAAGTGCTCTGCTTATCCGAGTTCTCTTTCCTTTCCGTATGAAGTTAGTAATTGGTTTTTCCATATCCTTAAAAAATTTTGTTGGTATCTGGATCAGTATTGCATTAAATGTGTAGATTGCTTTGGGTAGTATTGACATTTTCACAAATTTCATTCTTCCTATCCATGAACAAGGCAGGTTCTTCGATTTATGTAGATCTCTTGTGGTTTCTAGCTCTGGTAGCATAGTGCCTAAGGCACTTGACTGCTAACCAGAAGGCTGGCTGTTCAAACCCACCAGCCACTCCTCAGAAGGAAGATGGGGCAATCTACTTCTGTAGTGATACTGCCTCAGAAACCCAAGGAGGGGTTGCTATGAGTCGGGTCCAACTCGACGGCACATAACAACAGCAACAACTTGTAGTTTCTTACCGTAGTGCTTTATAGTTTTTTTGTATAGGTATTTTGTGTCCCTGGTAAGATTTATTCCTAGATATTTTATCTTTTTTGTAGCTATTATGAATGGTATTGTTTTCCTTACTTCCTTTTCAGAGGACTCTTTGTTGATGTAGAGGAATTCAACTGATTTTTGTATGTTGACCTTGTATCCTGCCACTTTGCTGAACCTTTCCAGGAGTTTTTTGGCTGAGTCTCTTGGGTTTTCTATGTATAGGATCATGTCATCTGCAAATAGAGATAGTTTCCTTCCTCTTTGCCAATTTGGAAGCCTTTTATTTCTCTTTTTGCCTTTTTGCCTTGGCTAATACTTCCAATACAATGTTAAATAGGAGTGGTGATAGAGGGCATCCTTGTCTGGTTCCCATTCATAAGGGGAATGATTTGAGTCTTTCTCCTTTAACAATAATGTTGGCCATTGGCTTTGCATATATGCCCTTTGTTATGTTGAGGAATTTTCCTTCTATCCCTATTTTGATGAGAGTTCTGAACAGGAAAGGGTGTTGGATTTTATCAAATGCCTTTTCTGTATCGATTGGTATGATCATATGGTTCTTTGGTTTTGTTTATGTGGTGGATTATGTTTATTGTTTTTCTGATGTTCAATCATCCTTGCATATCAGGTATGAATCCCACTTGGTTAGGATATATTATTTTTTTGATATGTTGTTGGATTCTTTTGGCTAGGATTTTGTTGAAGATTTTTGCATCTATAATCATGAGGGATATTGGTTTGTAGTTTTCCTTTTTAGTGGTATCTTTCCCTGGTTTTGGTATCAGTGTTATGCTTGCTTCATAAAATGAGTTTGGAAGTATTCCATCTTTTTCTCTGTTCTGGAATAGCTTGAGAAGTATAGGTGTCAG